GGTTGGCGGGTGTTCTGGTGTGGTTTGCTTCTTCTTTCCTATCAAACATCTAGCGTCCTTATCTCTCCCCCCTTCTTTTGTGTTTGTTACTCTCTTGCAACACCTCTGTTCAGTAAAACACTTACTAAAATGTAAAAGTCTCTTTTCATTTTTCAGAAATCTCCTGAGCTCCCAGCCGACTCCAGAGAGACGGCCAAAGCTGAAGTTGTAGAATCTACTCTTCTTAACAGCACACGCCAAGAAACTGCTGTCGTCATCTTTCACTCATTGCGACCAACCCCTCACCACAAAAAAAAGTCTGTCTACTTTCACCCATTGCGACCAACACTCCATCCAGGACCACAAAAATCAGCCGCCCACGACTCGACCACACAAAAACAGCCGCCATGTTTGGTGGTCGACGTGTGCTCCGGCAGGTGATGCTGGTCCTGGAGATGTTGGGCCTGGAAGCCAGCGTCATCCTCGAGGTGGTTCTGATGGTCACCAACCTACAGGCTCTGGGTGTCCCTATACAGTTCTCAACCCTTCCCGTCACAATCTCGTCCGCCGTTGGTATCATCGCCTTGCCCGCGCTAGGAATCTTGATGGACCGGTGCGCGTCATCGACTACGGCCAAAGCCAAAATTTTAGTCTTTGTCTCCGCAGTGACAATTTGTGGAGTTGCCTTTGTTATAATTGGGAACCTTGGGAAATTGTTTAGAGTGCCGTCTATTTATGGCAGTTCTACCAAAACCTCCTTTAAACTTAGTAGTAACCTCACTTTATTAAATTCCGATCCATCCTCGGAATTCACCAGCGCTGCTTTGTCGCCGTGGTTGAATACCACGAATCATTCCTCGGGACTTTTGAGGAAATCGGATGCGAATTTCAACTCGGCATCAGGGCTTTCCTATGACGTAGGCAATCACAGTGGTCTAAGGGCGACCACTCCTACAGGTGGCAGCACCGGCGGTGGTCTTCCGTACTACGCGTGGTTTGCTATGGTGGGCTACGGGATGATTGATGTGGGCTACGATGCCAGTAACTGTTTTCTCAAGACTTTCTCCCTCGCTTGCACGCCCCCCAAGGAGCAGTCCAGCATACTTGTGAAGCACGTTCTTTTGGCTTCTGTTGGTGAGTGGTCCCTCTATTCCAAACGTCACTTGCATTGCATAATAATGAAAGTAATAATGATAATAATGACAATAACGATAATAAGAATAAGAATAAGAATACTAATGATAATTATGATAATAATGGGAAGAAGAAAAAAAAGAAGCAGAAGCAGAAGAAGAAGAAGAAGCAGAAGAAGAAGAAGAAGAAGAAGA